TATAATATATAGTATATATAATATATAATATGTTAGAAATGTAACATATACGATTTATTTGTATATACATAAAATATATATTCTCCCTATAAAATTTATATTATACATATATATTTAACATGTATATTATAAATAAATATGTATATATAAATGTTATATATGGTTTATTTGGGTGTTTAATTTTAGTAGAATCTAGACTTTGGTTTTTTTTTTAATATTTTTTACTCTTTTTTTTTTGCTATAGGGCGTGTACGCTCACCAGACAGAGAGAGACATAGAGACAGAAAGCGAGAAATCACCCCCCAGGGGGGATGGTCACGCCGCAATCCCTTCTCCTCCATTCTCCTCTTGGGACCTTGGGCACGCACGCACACGTGCCCGGCGTGAGTTTTAAGCCACCGGGTCCGGGACGTGAACCACGGTCGACTACGTGGAAGTCCAGCGACATAGCCATTACGCTAACTGCTGGTTCCCTTTTTTACTCTTTTGTTTTGTCTCTCAAAAGGCAAGTTCATCTTGCTACTTAAATGTCTGAGATGAAAGCACCTAAATCTTATATGAAAATTCACCTGGGCTAGGATACGGAGAAAAATGACCTTTTTTTATCCTCTAAGAAAAAAATGTTTTCAGTTTTTTAGTGCCCTCTCTTACTCCTTCTTCATTTAAACCAATGTCTTTATCTCACTAAATCCAGTACGTCGTTACTAGGATATTCCTTAAGAATAGGACCTGGAGGAACTAACAAACCAGCTAGCCCAGTCAATGAGGAAAACTTGCCGTATTGAATGTAACGTATCAAATGTATTGGACTAACTATCATCTTACGAAAGGAGGTTCCCTCCCACTGTCCCACTCCTGTATCTTTTGCTGAAATCTCAGGCAAAAGTGAAAGTTTCCACTGAGGCTTGGAAAGATGGGATATTGGTGATGTCATTATGATGGGCTCTAGAGGTGTTGGATTTGATACTGGTACATCCCACATTCTATTCCTACCAACCTTGCAAAATTGGAATTTCATCAAAATCATATTAACAAAAATGTTTCTTCCAATGCTTCCAATGACATCTTTGAAATACCTGATAGACCAGGCAGAAACATGTGTAACTGTTCTCCATGTGTGATGCAGACACACACGTACACTCAGTAAGTTCAGCTCACGTTTCCTAGTGTTGTCTAGCAAATGCGCAATAACAGATTTCTCAGCTTCCCCTTCTACCCAAAGGAAACTAATAAAAGCATGACCTACATAAAATATCAATTTAAAATGTAAGTTACTACCTATTTACTCTTTGTTTTTAATTTTTGCTATAGGGCACGTGAGTGCACCAGAGTGAGACAGAGGGAAAGTGAGAAATTGCCCCCCAGGGGACGTTCATGCCACAATCCCCCTCCTCCATTCTCCTTTCTAGATTTTGGGCATGCATGTATAGGCAGCTGGTGTGATTTTCAAGTCTCTGAGTCTGGGTCCTGAACCGCAAACTTGGCCATGTGGATTCTAGCTGCCTTAACTTCCACACCACCTGTTGGCCCCCTATTTATGTTTTATAAATAAAGCAAAACTGATATTTTCTCAGGGTGATTTTTATCCCAAGCTCAGTCCTCATCTTCAGATTCTTAGATTTATTTCTCTGAATGTTAGTTGGCCTTTTGTACTTCATATACCTTTCAGACTTGGTGAATTTTCCAGGCCCTGCATGCCCCAGTTCTAAATAAGTGATATTTGGAAGGATAGGTTGGCTAAGGCAGGAAATCAAGCACATGACATTCTGGTTTGTGGTGCTTTCCTATTATGTAGATCTTGTTGAGAGCCAGTGATAAAAACAAGTCCTTTGCAAAGATGGAAATTGGATTTCTTCTCTGTGTGATTTTTTTCCCCCAGAGAAAAATGAAAAAAATGCAGTGTTGCTATTGGCATGATGTGGAAATACTTCTTTTTTTTTTTTTGGTTTATTAATTGCCAGAGTGTGCATGTGCTCGCACAAGTGCGTGTGCATGACAGTGGGGGTGGAGGGGATGAAAGCACCCCCCAGTGGGGCATGGTCACATCACAAGTTGTTCTCCATTTTTCACGCATGCACATGCTCCAGCATATTATTCAAGCTGTAGAGGCTGAGAACCCAACCGTGGTTGGCCATGGGATTCCAGCTCAGGCTAGGGGTTGGCTCTGGAAATGTTACTACTGTAGTACAAATTTTGCTATACTTAGATGCACGGTGATAAAATTTTGCTATACTTAGATGCATTTTGACTACCTTTTTAAAGACTTCTAAACTATTAGTATCAGTACACACAAAAATGAATAGTATGTGGGTTATGCATTTGTTTTTGCAAGCTTAACTTGTATCTCTTATAAAGGCTGTTTATATTTTTCATTCGTTAGGCCCATTTTTGGAAGCACATTAAATTTTAAAAGAAATTTATTATAATTAGTGCTAAAAGCTTATTTCATTTACAAAAGATTTATATACAGTCACATCAAAAAATTAAAAAATGTCTTATGTGGAAAAAAATGAGAACTAAACTAGAGACTCTTCTTTGATGTCTGTTTGGGACTTCTCAAGGATTTTTTTTTTTTTTTAAGAGGTTTTTGGTATAGAGTACGTGGACTCACTGGAGACCGAGAGACAGACAGTGGAGAAATCACCCCCCCAGAGGGATGGCCATGTCCCTTCTTTTCCATTCTCCTCCTGGGATTTTGGGTGCATACACGCATTTCCTCAGCGTGAATTTTACGTTGCACGGTCCAGGACTCGAACCATAGCTGGCTATGTGGGAGTCCAGTCCCTTAACCATCACAGCACCTGCTGGGCCCCAAGGATTTTTTATTTTAATCAGTAGAATGGTGTTGGATAATGTAAAACAGATCTTTGATCCGTAAGCTTTGAGTCTTTTCATCACAAGGGCTACATTTAAATCTAATTTTCATTTACTGCAAAAGATTCATTCTTTGACTCATGATACCAGCCTATAAACCCTCATATGTGAATATTTGTCTTTTATTCTTTAATGAAAAATTAATTCTGATTTTCCCAGTTTTATAAATTACCTGTCAATGAGGCATTGTATGTATACTATTTTGAGAACCTTAAGAGTTAGTGCATATTATTTAGCCTTTCCCAAAGAGTACTCTTACCATCTGGGTAGTTTAGTTCCCACGGGTAATTAGTTTAAAAATAACTGTAAATTTTTTTACTTGTAACCAGAAAATGTGTGATTCCATCTACCATCAATTAGAAGCATTTCAAGGAGATATAGGCAGCTCTTAATTATCTCTGCCATTTGGGACTGGCATTTGGGGACTAGTCTTTGGCCTCCTAAAAGAACAGATCATTTGCTTTTTCTGCTCTGCTTATGGTTTATAAGCCTCCGTGTTTTGCCATGTGTTTGTAATTGCATGTTGATTTTCTGTGATGCTTTCCCCCCCAGAGCGGAGCAGGAGGGACCTGCCCTGTGTAGGGGATAGATAGCTAGGGAAGTCAGGTGACTCGGGATGAGGGCAGGAAGGTGGCACTGAGCAAGTCCTGCTTGTGCTCCGGGGACGTGTGACAGGGACAGGCCACAGCCTGCTTCATCAAGAGTGAACTCCACAGAGCTAAATAAAAATGAAGTTGGTTTGTGTTAAATCTCTGAGAGCATCCCTTTTCAAAAAGAATTTCTCTGGTTGGTACATTTTAATGTGTAGTTTTGTTTTATGATACCATGAGCAAGACCATGAATGCTAATCTCAATACTGACACTCTGTGTCCATATGCATGATAGAGAAAAAACAAAACATGGAAGCATACGTATTTGTGCTAAACTTCAGTCGCAGTGCTCCCAAGTATGGTTTTTAGAAATTAGGAGTATTTCAGATCTGTCACATAACTTTCAGTTGGTCAATTAAAAGGAGCAACTTTCGTGGAAAGTATAATTGCTATGGCTTTTACCAGGAAAAAAAATGGCTGTTGTCTCTAATTTAGTTTTCAAAAAATATTGATTTCAGCTCTCTGATGTGATCTCTGCAAGCGAGAAGCCGCTGGCCGAGCAGGACTGGTACCATGGCGCCATCCCGAGGATAGAGGCGCAGGAGCTGCTGCGGCAACAGGGCGACTTCCTGGTGCGCGAGAGCCACGGCAAGCCTGGCGAATACGTCCTCTCCGTGTACTCCGACGGGCAGCGCAGACACTTCATCATACAGTTTGTCGATGTGCGTTTGCAGTGTCCTTACGCGTCTGCTGTGATGTAGCTGATGGTGGTACAGCTGTTACAATGACGAATGGTTTAGGGTAAATGCATGTAACGCTTAAAGCACTTAGAACTCAGAACTTAATTGTTTTTCCTGAATACTTAAATATAGAGCTCCAAAATTCATCAAAATGTTCCATCTTCTTAAGGAAATGCATAAATATGCTTTAAAAATATGTATATTATATGTATATACATACTTTTCTTTTTTTTTTTTCTTTTGCTATGGTGCACTTACTTGTGCTTGCCAGAGCTAAGACAGAGAGGGAAAGTAAGAAATCACCCCCCAGGGGAATGACTGTACCTCAATCCCTTGTCTTCCATTCTCCTCTCAGGATGTTAGGCACCCACGCCTGAGGGTTTTTCAAGCTTCTGAGTCCAGGACTCAAAACTGCAGTCTGCCATGTGGGATCCAGCTGCCTTAACCTCCACACCATCTGCTGGCCCCAAAATAAAATTAGTTTTTACAAATATAAGTTAAATTTAAATATGTAACTATTTAAATTAAGTTAAAGTTGAAATTTAAGATATTTTAAATTACAAATAAAACAGTGTGATTGATTATTACAGATTTTCTTTTCCCTAGGGAAACTTAAGTTTATGAAATTTATACTTTTCAAATTGACTCTTAAAACTGCTTCCAAAATGGTGCTGTGAAAGATTTTAAAGAACTATTTTATTGAATAATGACAATGAAATTCCTTAATGAATTTGATAGTGTTAATGGAATTGATTTTATGATTCATTAAGCATTAAGAGTTTTATTTTTTCCTTCTTTAATATAAGCTGTTGCTTGTTAGCTTTAATGAACAGTAAATGAAAATTGATGAGAATTTTAAAAGTCTATTCACATTCCTTATTCTAATTCTAATTTTAAAAAGTTATTTAAGTATTACTAATCTATTTTCTATGTTTGTTACATTTTATCTATTGCGCATCAAACAGATGAGGGAAAATTTCAACATTTTCACTTTTGCCTGTTGAGAAATTGTTAGTGTTTTAGCATATGAGGGAATCAATGCCTCTGTTTGTCTTCTTTTACTGCATCCTTGCAAATGGCGAGAAAAGAAAATGTTTTTAAGTCATAGGAAGAGGAAAATCCACTTAAGTACTGCACTATATTTTGATATGTTTAGTAAAAAAAAATAGTATGTATAAAAGAACTTGTACAGTTTAGACCCTCATAGTTCAAAGGTCAGCTCTATTATAATTTTCACACTATTTACTAACTTTGCATAATAATAACTTGGACTTGATAATCATATTTGCTCACTTTCATATATCCAACTTACTGTTTTAGACACTATACTGCTCCTAATAGCTTATCCATTTTTATGTATTTCACAAACTCGTTTATAATTTGTATGTACCTTAAAGTTAGGAATGTAGATATCCTTCCTTATTACAGCTTGTGACCAGATTGATATAAACATTTCCTTCTAATTTTAGTGTTTAATGGTTATTTTTTTTTTTTTTTTTTGGAGAGGTTTTTTTTTTCTCTGTAGGGCTTGTGCGCTCTCCAGACAGACAGAGAGAGACAGAGAGACAGAAAGCGAGAAATCACCCCCCAGGGGGGTGGTCACGCCGCAATCCCTTCTCCTCCATTCTCCTCTCGGGATCTTGGGCACGCATGCATACGTGCTCGGCCAGAGTTTTAAGCCACTGGGTCCGGGACGCAAACCGGGTTCGACTACGTGGGAGTCCAGCGACATAGCCATGACGCTAACTGCTGGTTCCCTAAAAGTTACTATTTTTAAAATATATCATACACTAATTAAAATGGAAATATTTATTTTACTACCACTGTAGTGTGTAAAAGGTAACATTAGGAACTGAAATTAGTATTCTTAGAGACAAAACCGAGTCAGTTTGCAACTTATCACTTGTTTTTGATATAGCCATTCTGTTTTAAGTGGCTAAGATGAGCAGCATAGTATATGCTAAAAATAAGACATTGTTACAAGTTTACATTTGAAGGTTTTATTTGACCTCTGTCATTGAAATTTTGCAGATATTCCATTAAAGATGAGAGCACTTGTATTTTCAGTAAATGCCTCTAATATTCTAATGCCTAAGTTTGTCAGTGAGCTTTCACTATATAATGTTGAGCTCTTCAGACAGTTGAATACCAGAGTTTAAGGCAATAGAAATGGTTTGGAAGAGTTCATTTCTTTTTCTTCATTTTGTACAGGAGAATCTTCCATGAGCATAAATTATCTTATCGCTTTCTTCATGTATCTGTTGTGTAGAAGGGTTCAAAAATGGTGGAGGCCCAACCACTGTAGTGCACTGGCTGTTTTGCCCTGCAAGGACTGGAAGCCATGTGATGAATGAGGGTGTGGGTCCCTGCGTCAGTCTGCAACCATGCCCTGTGCATGTGTGGGCACCCACAACTCCGGGGAGCTAGCTGAAGGGCTAGAAAAGGGATTGCAGTCTGATGAGTCCCTGTTGAGGGTGCTCCTTTCTCTTTCTCTCTCTTTCATTAAAAAAAGAATATTGCAGGGCTAGCAAGTGGCATGATGGTTAAGGTGCTGGACTCCCACATATCTGACTATGGTTTAAGTTCCCAACCTGGCAGCTTTAGAGAGAATCATGCCAGCTGTGTGTCTGTGCGTGTGTGTGTGCATACCAAAATCCCAAGAAGAAAATGGAGTAGGAACTGCATGCGTGCACATGTGTTCAGCGTACTATTTATTTATTTATTTATTTATTTATTTTGTTTTTGTAGAGTTGTTTTTGTTATGGGGCGCATGCATTTGCCAGAGAGACAGAGAGAAACGGAAGACAGAAAGTGAGAAATCACCCTTTAGAGGGGATGGCCATGCTGCAATCTCTTCTCCTCCATTCTCCTCTCAGGGTTTTGGGCATGCATGCACATGTGCCTGGCGTGAGTTTTAAGCCACTGGGTCTGGGTCTCAAACCACAGTCGACTACGTGGGAGTCTAGCGCCATAACTATTACACCATCTGGTGATCCCATCCCTGTGTGTGCTTTTTAAGTTTCTGGGTCCAGGACTCGAACTCTTGAACTGCACAGTTGGCCTTGTGGGATCCAGCTACCTTGGCCAACATGTTTTCATCAGCCACTTCTTCCTACCCACCCCTCACGTGCACATATTCTCTCTATCTCAAAAAAACAAAGTGGGAGAATTCATTCATTTAATAGTGTCTTTATAATCTAATGAACAAGTTTATAATCCAATAGCAGACTATAAAAGCCTTACATAAATGAAGCGACAAGTGTCCTAAGACTCGAAGACATTAAGTAATAATGGGATTTTGGAGAACAGAGAAAATATCAAATAGTGGGTCAATGAAACAAATAATGAACTTGGACTCAGATGACTTGGTTCAAGTCCCAGTTCTGCACGCTGAGTGCTCTCGGTTTAGCAGGTAGTGGGAGTGACATCCCGCAGAGTTTGTGAGAAACATTTCTGAGCGTCCATGTTTGCCGAGTACCATGTCATGCAGCACAAGGAGATGAAACCGAAAAATGTACAGCCCCTCTTCTCAGTGAGCTTACAACCTAGGAGAGAAGACACTAGGAACGTTTGTGAACAAAGAAATAGTAAAGATGCCCAATTAAGTTTGCTTGTTTGAGCCATGAGGTCTAGGTTAATGTGTGGTGATCAGTGAAAAATTATATATATGATAGATAGATAGATAAAAATAACACAAACGTTGAGTGTCCTAAATCTACATGAAATTAGATAGCTCAGTGAATTAAGTTGTTACTTTAATTCAGCTGATATTTATTGAGTATCTACCACATTCTAAGCTCCACTTGGAGTGAAGGGTTTAGTCCTGTGAATGTACCAACAGGCTTACTTTGTTTTGTTCCACAATCTCTAGGCTTCTCTAAATACCTTTTAAATTTATACTGTGAGTCTTAAGGGAATGAGTAGCAAGCCAACACTTGTTCAAGTGACAGTTAATTCCGAATTTGTGGCCTTATCTTTGTGTATTTGGGATTATTTTATGCCATTCTACTCTATACAGGGACCCAGAGGATGGCAATAAGTACCTTGAAATAAAAATAAAAATGTATCATTTTCTATAACCCTGACATAAAATTAAGGACTTAAGGTATTTTCTTCATAATAATAAAACAAAGCCACCCCCAAACCTTCTAAGGATTATTTTCCAGGATATACGATTTGAGCAAGAACTACTTAAGGCTCAGAGACGCAGTGGTGTAGTTTCCAGTCTAGAAAGGAGGCTCTTCGTCATGCATAAACCACAGATTCAATACAATTATAAATTGGAAACTGTAGAAAGTGCTGTAAGGACAGACGCATGGTGCTGTGAAAGGTTTTAACAGGCAAGCTTTTTTTCTTGGAGAGATTTCTGCTATAGGGTGTGTGTACTCACCAGAGAGACAGAGACAGAGAGACAGAAAAATGAGAAATCACCCCCCCTCCCACCCCCAGGGAGGGGATGGCCATGTTGTAACCCCTTCTCCTCCACTCACTTCTTGGGATTTTTGGGTACATATGCGCATGTGCCCAGTGTGAGTTTTTGTTTGTTTGGGTTTTTTTTGAGAGGTTTTTGCTATAGGGCGTGTGCGCTCACCAGACAGACAGAAACAGAGAGACAGAAAGTAAGAAATCACCCCCCTAGGGGGGATGGCCATGCCACAATCCCTTCTCCTCCATTCTCCTCTCGGGATCTTGGGCATGCATGCACACGCGCCCAGCGTGAGTTTTAAGCCACCGGGTCCGGGACATGAACCGTGGTCGACTACATGGGAGTCCAGTGACATAGCCATTATGCTTACTGCTGGTTCCCCCCAGTGTGAGTTTTAAGCCACCTGGTCTGGGACTCGAACTGTGGTTGACTCCGTGGGAGTGATGTAAGCATTATGCCATCTGCCTGTCCCTTAACAGGCAAATTTAAGGAAGTGAAGTTTGAACTGGCATTTAAAGAAAGAATAAGTTATCTTGGACAAGCCATACCAAAGCCT